CAAATTTGGTATACATGGTTTATGGTGGTCATAAACGTTCTTGCAACCGCAGTAATGGGCAGGTTGTTTTTTTACATATAACCAGACAAAGGACAGTAACTTCATCATTTTGACATCCTCTCATCCTAAACCGAATGCCTAACATTTGCGTCCGGGTTGGCTCCACAGGAGATCACAGACCATAATCAGCTGGACTCTTTACACTGACATGTTCAGTATAAGCATGACATTGCAGTGTTTCGGTTGAATATTGTGTCCCGTTCACCGTGTTTTATCTAGTAATAAATTGCGGATATATTCCATAACATTAGCAATGGTAAAATATAATAATGACTCATTCTCAAGTGTCATTTCATTATTAGACGTGGAATTCTCCATTCACCAAATACTGAGATATATCTTACTATTCGTGGACAGTTATACAAAGTAATCCCATTGTATACTTTGAAAGGTCATTAACTTACTATCCATTAATTAGCACTTATTAAAAACTGAAAGCGGCTAAAATACTATATTTGTTTTGCACGAACCTGTCCCACTGCTTCCATCTTGTTTCACTTCCAGGTCGGATATAGGTGAAGGCCGTCTATTTCCTGTTACGTTTATTGAAACGAAATAGGATTTTAACACAAAAAATGATTAACATATAATATCCTATTCGTATTTATTATGATAACACGTAAACTTTTATAATATGTTTCTGTCACAGCCTACGACATAAGCTTTGGACATCAAACCATAATGACAATTTACTTAAAGTAAAGTACGTTTCATTTCTATCATGTTATTTATATGAACAAATATGAAGCACTTTTCTAACGTTAATATTTGACTACTGACCACCAAACGAATACATTAATGTGGGACAATTATGTCATTAATTCTCACTGGCCATTATAAATTCTACGTGTTGCTGTTGGGCTAGTTCGTTCAAATTGTTCAATTGTTTTCATTGGTTGCGAATATTTTTAAACTCTTTAGTTTTTTTCGATGGTGTGAAATATTATTGTTTGTATCTTATTGTAGAGAAATACGAAAATGGATATCTATTGCATATCCCCCTCCTATTTTAGGTTGTATTTATCTTTAAAACTTCTCTTTTGCAGAAAAAGTGTTTCTTTTCAAATCAATCGTGACTGAAAAGCACGTTAATACAAATAAATTCGCATTGTGTTTAGAAACACATGATGTGATTAACTATCGGAGGGATCCATCCCATATCTCCATGAGCAACCCTAAGAAAAATCTCAAAGCACGATGGTGAACGGCATTTACAGTAGAAATGACCCCAGATAGATGCCCCATAACTCAATCCTGGCCAAACCATCGTAGCATACAATGTGGAATAAGTAGTGGATTGCACACCTCCGATTGCCATATATTTACATATAAGAAGGCCTAATGCTCTGTTAGCCGATTTAGCTGCTGCTTTTGCCATAGCATTGTTGTCAAGATGTTCCGTGAGCAGTAGGCCTGGATAATTATAACAATCAACAATGTCTAAAACAGAGTTACCAATATTTAAAAAAGCTGTTGTTCTTGGAACGCTTACATTTCTAAAGTGTACAATCGTGGACTTGTCATTATTAATAAGGTTACTATTATCAACACACCGAGTATTCATAACATGTGATAGACGATTCAAATCATCTGCCGATTCTGCAAGTAAAATAAGATCATCAGCATATGCTAAGGCTGCAATAGTTACATCATCAACACAAATACCAATACCAGTTTCAGTTAGCTTGTCAAGCAAATCATTAATAAAAAAATTACACAGAATTGGCGAGAGTAAACATCCTTGTTTTTAACCCGATTAACATTAAACCAGGGTGTAAGCATACCAATTATACGTACACTGCATTTCACATTATCATATAAAGATTGAAGTGCTAGAAGCATTTTCCCTTTCACACCAATGTTACATAATTTCTCCCACAGCACAACCTCTGTTAATGCTATCATACGCTTTATGAAAGTCAATATAAGCAGAAAAAGTGTCTTTTAATACATTTTCTAGTTTCAATAAAAGAACAAACAGCGTGAATATGACCCGTAGTTGATCTACTCCTCCGGAACCCATTGTGTTCATCATTTAGTGCAATAACAAATTTTATTGTAAGTATAAGCCTCCACAGGAACCATATTTTAGTCAGTTTGAGTAGAGACAAACTGAGTTCAGTTAAGAAATTGTCATATGTATAAGTAATTCATTTTTTACTCGTTACCTACAGCTACCAATCTCGATCAATTGACGTCATCCTGAGATGTGTGTAAGCGTTAATACACAATCAAGACCAGTTCAGACTTATTCTGTTGTTTGATGGCTTGTGCACGCGCGGAGATGTAGTACTTTACGTCTATTAACTAATCCCTCTCACCCACGCTACTTTACCATTTTTATTTCATTAAATTTACGTCCATAATTTTCATTTTGTAGGTCAGGTGATTTTTCATACTATTGGCCCATATTAAATTTCCAAATTAAACCCCGTCTCTCCACAGTAGCAGCAGTCTTACTTCACTCTTATATAAGGATCTATTGAAACGAGTGTGTGTGTGGAATCAGCTTGCCTAGCAGAGTTACACGGCTAACCCACACAACAACACACGACCTGAGTGAACAAACAATCAGTTTATTAGACAGCCACATAATTATTTATAGGATCAGTCAACAAAAGAATGTTTACAGTGAACTATTAGAACATGTTTACAATCAGTAACAGAAGTACACATATACGAAGACCATCAGATGGGCATGGTATAGACTGATAACACAGGATACATACGTTAGTCACGATGCATATTCCAGGTACACAACGTAATACAACAGTTTACATATGATTGAATATAGTATACCCGACACACTCTAACTAATACGGGCGGTGGGGTAGCCTAGTGGTTAAAGCGTTCGCTCGTCTTGCCGAACACCCGGGTTCGATTCCCCACACGGGTTCAATGTGTGAAGCCCATTACTGGTGTCCCCCGCCGTGATATTGCTGGAATATTGCTAAAAGCGGCGTAAAACCATACTCACTCACTCACTTAACTAATACATTACCCGAGTGGGCATTCACAAATTCTAGTTCGGCCACAATACATATCCGAAAAGTACCCAACATAATAAAGTTAACAGAATTGTCATAATCTATTCACAGTAAATTACAATAGGAATATGTAATACACGCGAGTATGACACGATCAGCTACCAAAATAAACTTGCAGGATGTGCCATGGGTAATAGCATAGCGTTAAGATTTAACACAGTACAAGATAGGAACGTTTCCTATCTGAGTGAATAAACAATCAGTTTTTTAGACAGCCACAGAATGATTTGTGACTGTCGTCCGTATTCATACCTAGACCAGCTTCCACAGACGAAACATCGCAGGATAATAGAATAAAGAGTTTGTCATCCATAAAATATCTTGTCATTACTGTCAATTACCGAGTTAATACCAACTTCTGCAAATGCCAATCAAACTCTTCACTGCATCAGGTGTTCACATCCCGTGTCAGTTTCACAAGTAATTAATAACAAGGATTCTTTTATTGGTAATCATTTGCGGCCATATCGTAACCGATGTTTGTGAGCTCTCTACTGTTCACATTTAACAATGATCAGACTTCAAAATGTTTAAAGATTTTATTTTAGTAAATTGAATTCCTGTCTTGATTATAGTTGTGGTTGATAAATAATAATGTATGACTTTGTTGTCATTCAGAGGTGCTGGAACCATTCATTAATGGGAATATTACTATCCGAAAATGATACATTTTCCCGTTTCAGCTAACAGTTTGTGGTAAAGGAAAACGAATATGATAGAAACTACACCATGTGTACTTAACTACGTCACTCCCTCTCTATATATAGATGACAAGATAATTTAAAAAGATGTATAATTATTTTTAATCTTTGATCAGGGGAAAAGTTACGGACACAGCACCATACAAATCTAGGAGTCTGGACTCGACGTTACCGGAGTCAACACAAGTATCGGTTCAGACAAATACATTGACATATGTCAACTCGGTTTAGACAAATACATCGACATATGTCAACTGAGACATTGCATGTGTGATACTAGTGTCCTTGTCACCCGTTGGTGTGATATGCATCACTAAAATTGGGTTCGCCGGTGAGTAAAAGAGGCTTTGAAGTACTTGTATCAAACACGCAGGTCAGCCTATTGAAACCGGAGCCCCACAGCCCTCTGGGTATAATATATGTATTAATTGATTGACATTACTGTGTCGCTGTGTTTCACAGAGGCTGTTACTATAAAGTGAGTGAGTGAGTATGGTTTTGCGCCGCTTTTAGCAATATTCCAGCAATATCACGGCAGGGGACACTTGAAATGGGCTTCACACATTGTACCCATGTCGGGAATCGAACCCGGGTCTTCGTCGTGACGAGCGAACGCTTTAACCACTAGGCTACCCGACCGACCCATTACTATAAAGAAGATGCTCGAGTGTCCTCTCACACGTGATGGCGTTTCCGTGATTTGCGGGATGTGAAAAAAAGAATGACAACCATCTTATGGGTTTAACAAATGTTATATTTGGGATAACGCTTTCTTAGTAAAGTACAGATTGTAGTACTTTTTTTCTTCTTCTATTTTTGTCATATCTTATGGGTTGTAGTTATAGTTAAAACACGCCATTAGTTTCTTTTACGATATATGGGTTTTTTTACAGTTAGGGACCAAATGATTTACACTTGTGAAATATGTTAAAATTAAATTGTTCCACTCAAAAGGAATTATGCACACGAGTTTTTGAAACTATCAATGAAATATTCATTAGAATTCATATATACTTCATGTTCATATCTATCTCTGCAAATGTAAATTTAAGGAAGAAATTCAACACTATAACATGTTTTTATGAAATATTTTCCAATCAGATGCTACATATAACACTTAAGTTACATCGGCTGATTGTCGCCAATTCGTGTAAGGGAGATTACTCTAAATGCTTGTTCGTTTGGTATTTACAGCACATCGAATTTTCCTCTGTCATTTAGTACTTTTTCCGCCATTGCAAAGCAAACCTTGCTTTGTCACGCGTGGATACCGGTGTGTGTATATATCTAGGTTTTGGTAAGCGTGCAGTTTTATATTCCTCTATTTTTAGAGAAACTGTCAATTGATGATTTGTGTAAAGGATGTTAAGATTGCATATCGTGGTTTACACACGTGTCTGCGCGTTTTGTCGACTGTGAAATACGTCGAACATTTGTTGATGTCGATGCATGACTTGTGTTTTTTCAGTCCCTAAACAATTTCACTTTGAGATTAATTTCTTCAAAGTATATATTCAAGTAAATATATCACATTAACGAAGGAAAGGGAATTGTCACGCTTTCGTTGTTTTTTGTTTTCACAGGTCCAGAGGAATCATGTTTCTAACCAGATCTGAGTATGATCGAGGTGTGAACACCTTCTCACCAGAGGGTCGCCTCTTCCAGGTCGAATATGCCATTGAGGCCATCAAAGTATGTACACTACACACATACTAGATCTTATGGGAACAATTAACTTCTACCTGGCACGCATTTTGCTTTTCAGTTAGCACTGCATCCTAACCCTTAAAACAACCCCAATCCTACCATCTCAACACTATATCCTGATGTACCCTATTTTCGAACTGTTATTGTTAACACGGTTAAGATGGTATTGCTGATATTTCGAGGGAAGAGTGAATGAAAAATCAAATTCTGCCTCATACCAGTAGGTGATGGCTTCAACAATAGAATTCAGTTACATTCCGAAAGAAAAGGACTCCTTGATAAAAGGCGTGACTTCCATTACCTTGTCTGTAAACTTCCACTGCATTGCTGTGACGTCAGCTATTGTCAAACACCTGATTGGCTTCGTACTTTAGTAGGGTTTTCTTGAAGGAAGAGACATGTTTTGGCACACAGTTCTCTACATAATTCTTGCATTTCGGCATTAAAACTAAAAAATAAGGGATAGTTTGAAACATCTTCACAAAATATGAATATTTGCCACATGATTGTGTTCACACTATTTTACTCTTCCTTTTCATCATGACCCGGGCACCAAATGCCTGAATGACAACGAAATGTTCTGACAGGTGTACAGTACTTCGCATGACCTCAATGTTGACAGGCTGAACGCATGCATTCTCCAGTCGGCAGCTTTCATGACGTCGCAAATCGCCCATTAATGCAACAAATCAATATCAAATACGGCTGTTCGAAAATTGGTGTAGTTTGAAAAAAGGGTACTTGACGATACATGTAGTTGTGAAGGGGTATACCATATATACCCTCTTCACTTCTGTAGTTCCCTATGTTACATACCAATAGGGCCTGACAAAGAACATTTTACCTGGTAGTATTCAAGCCAAAGGGGCCACTCAGGTTAGGTTTGTGAATGTGAATAAATGTAAGAAAGGGTCATGTCTAGATGGCTCCCTGGAAATACAGGTACAGCTTGTACATGCTGTTATATAATTGTCATTGCAAAGTACTGTCCTTGGTATGTTTAAAAGATGCCTTTTTTCAAATCTGCCTACTTTAAACCAGATATTGTCATGATTATAGTTTGTTTTGAAAAGAACTTATGGGAGGGTCGGGTAGTCTTGTGGTTAAAGCGTTCGCTTGTTATGGCAAAGACCCGGGTTTCGATTCCCGATATGGGTACAATGTGTGAAGTCCATTTCTGATGTCCCCCGACGTGATATTGCTGGAATATTGCTAAAAGCGGCGTAAAACCAAACTCACTCGCTCACTGAAAAGAACTTAAATGATGGGTTAGCAAATTATAGATGACCAGCTTCAGTTGTACAGTTTCGTCATTTGTTTTCAAGCTTGGATCAACTGCCATTGGCATACAGACAGGAGAAGGAGTTGTCCTGGCAGTAGAAAAGAGAGTCACCTCCCCATTGATTGAGCCTTCCAGCATTGAGAAGATTATGGAGGTTGACAACCATATAGGTACTGTTTACTTGTACTGATACGAACTGACATGTAAGGCTCAGTCAAATATGTATCCACCATGATTGTACAACCTATAGTGTCCCAGCTACTTTCCCAAACATGTCCCTGGACATTATAAAAAAAACATTATGAGTAGTTTTACCCTGTTTACTCTTAACATTTGGGCTGTCATAAACTTACTACATGTACCACTCCAAAGCAGTATGTGAAATAATTTTGCAACAGCACTAGCCAACTGGACTTGTCACCATGGTCACTAGCTAGAACATTGTTTTCTAGCCAGTTGCAGATTTAAGTAGCTAGTCCTAATACAAAGTGAAATACAAGGAGAATCTGGTAGCATGGAGAGAAAATCTTATGAATCTTTATCGAGTCAGTAACATTGCCAAGACTCCCATGTCTTGCATATGGCCCCTACTTAACCAGTGTCCAACCCAGAATTGAAAATCAAGGGGGGATTTGTCCCCCCCTCATGTAGAAAATAGGGGGGATTTTGAAAAAGTAGGGGGGATAACTGCTTTCTTCAAAAATGTCTTATTTGAATTATGTAATAGAACATCATCATATAAAAGTGTAACAGATCAGAATAAAGAACTGAAATGAATAACAATTAATGCTTTTTGATTTTTTTCTATCAAATTTTAATCAATAAATCCAATAATGATTGAATGATTAAGAAGCAGCTGTACAGTCAAACAGATACAGTGAATGGATTCACATACAGTGGTCCCTCGCTACAACGCTACCAATGGGGTCCAAATGATAGGTGGGCGTTATAGACGATGAGCCGTTTAACCGAGGCCGAGGCGGGGGAGCGCGCTCGGCAAATCTCAAATCATCAATGTGTTTATCTCACGTCACGTCAAAATAGTATATATTTTTATGGACCTAGATCTACCTGTAATATCATTCATTAATTAAATCTGTCACATTTCACAATGTCTGAAATACGTATTCCATTTCAATTTATCATTTTTTATCGATAAATTAAAAAATGATTCACTATTTCCCGCGATGTTATTGAAAATAAAATTCTCGGACACACATTTCGACAACGGGTCCGCATCGAACATGTCAAAGAGCAAAAAAAAGACGTTTTAAGCAAATCTTTAAATATATTATACAAAGTGATAAAATAAAATCAACAAAAATATATCTAAAAGTAATCAAACTTACATCTAAGTTATTATTTCCATCGTTTCGTGCGATCGCGTGTAATGTAAGTCAAATGACATCTCGGCTTTCGTCGCCTTGAATTCTCGGCTCGGACACAACGTTTAATGCAAAAATATATGCATGAAAAATCTTTGTCACAGCTCGTAACCCAGCACGATACATTCACGAAGTTCTATATTTTTAATATATATCGTGATTTCCTGCTTAAAACGTTCAGAATACATGGAATAACACGATTTAACAAAAATCTTTCGCCAACTTCTGAAATTTATCAAACACGAGCTTGGTATCACAGCTATAATTTGATTGGCTGCCTGAGGTCACGTGCTCAAAATTGACCAATCACGAAACTTGTAGCAGATATCGGCAAGAAAGCGTCATTAGAAACAAATTTTAATCCAATGAAATCGCTTGTTATAACTACGGGGGAAAAACCAGGCGATGTTACGAAAGCGCGATTACGAAGTTGTTTACAATGTTTGCTGTGATCTGTCTTTCTTCGTTAATTGATTAAAGATTTAGTGAGTTTTGAATCTAAAGGTAGGGATGAACAGCTGATAAAGTAAGTGACTGTTTAAGAAATTACTGTGCGCGACAGATCGCGCTTTGAGGTTTTTATGAGGGGCGATTTGATTTTTTTTAGCGTGAATCGCGCAATCGCGCGGTCTGGGTTGGACACTGCTTAACATGAACATTAGTCTGTTACCATGGTTACATGCCAGGACTACTATGTCTTGCAAATGGCACCTACTTACCATGAACATTGGTCTGTGTCAATGCAGCAGGCCGACACAATTAATCTTGATATATATCAGTCACCTGTCACATGCACAATGAGCCAGAGTATGACTTTCTTCTGAAGGGTGTGCCATGAGTGGTCTCATTGCTGATTCCCGGACACTCATCGACAGGGCAAGAACAGAAGCACAGGTGAGAATACAGGTCTTGTTATTTCTACAGGAGGACGTTTTACCCCGACTTGAGCAATATTACAGCTATAACTCGTATTGCAGTAGCCTGTATATTATCAAGTCTGCACTTGGGGGCAACAGTTTATGCCAATTTTGATGTGTCACAATTGTCCGTGGTCCGATGGCATTACAGTGATGATTAGTTAAAACTAAAACATCCTTTGTTGACAATGTCTCTGAGCTAAACTGTTGATTGTATCCATGGCCTTAATAAACTGAAAACAATTTTGTTGATCATGGCAGATTTGTTTTTTCATTTTGCTTGAAGAGACGTGGATGTCCATTCTTCCACATTCATGTATATATTTCTCAGACTGTAATTCAAAGGTACCTCTCTTATTTACCTGACAATTTTTCATACAGTCTACAGAATCTTATGAATAATATGCATTTGGCTTTATCATCACATCCAATAGTGCAAAAAATCTACTTTTCACAATTGACGTAACCATCCAAACTGTTGCAATGCTATTGCCCTGTGCAATTCCCAAAACTGATGTTCTTTGTGCATGTAGGGGTCACGGGTGGCCCAGTCCTCTAAGGCGCCGAGATTCGCTGTTCAGAGTTGCATCCCTTTAGCATGCCAGAAACCTATGATTGTGGGTTCAAATCCCGGTTCGCCCCGATTATGTTTCTAGGGTTGTCAGCACCATACCCTTGCTCGTGGGTTTCACCGAAGTGGTAAACGTCCGAGACTTTGGGCTTTCCTCCCACATTAAGCTGACACGCCACGATATAACTGGAATACTGTTTAGCCACATTAGCCACTGTAGAAAGAAGAAAGTTGCAATCATTATGACCATGATGACATATGGGTTCAACCACTTTAATTGTATTTCAGAATCACTGGTTCACCTACAATGAGAAGATGACCGTGGAGAGTGTGACCCAGGCTGTCAGTAACCTCGCCCTGGCCTTTGGGGACGATGATGCAGACCCAGGAGCTATGGTCAGTGTGCAGCATGTGGGTCAGGGCTCAAGGCTGTTATACCATGCCCCATCTGCTCAAGTCTATCAATACATTTGGACAAGCAGACATTGACATAGTTTAATTGTATATATTGTTGTATTGTGTAGATCTTGCCAAGCCCCTTCAGAAGAAGACTAGAAGGTGGCACAGAGGCAAGCCAAGGCTTTACATACTTACCAAATTGGAGTCCATTCTGAGTTCTCCTCACAAGTTTGCCAAAGAATCATGACCCAAATATGCATGACATCTTTTATCATGTTAATCTTTTCCTTACCTAATATGATTTCAACACTGTGTGGTGTCTATGTAATGAATGTATGCAGGCATCACATACATGAACTCTGCAGTAAATGATGCACAAAAGCTCTACCTGTCGCTTGTTGATGTTGAAGTGTGTGCTGCTTGACTTACATGGTTTAGGAAGCCAAATATCACAAGTTGCACATTAAACATGTTAAACAAAAAGCATGATTATTTAAAAAAAATTCTAACTCATTGATTTGAAAATGCCCCTTAGAATGGATGCAACAGTAAACAATTGTAGAATATCCAAAGAAAATTGAAATATTCAATGGAATGATTTCCTATGAGTAAATACCCACTGGCTCCAACACTATCTGGAGCACTGACACTCTTGATGTTGTCAGATAATCAGTGTAATGTCATTGAAAACAAATGTAAAATGGTGTCATAAACATGATAAACGTGTCAAGTTTTTGTTTTCTGCTGATACCCAGTTTCTTCTTTGATAGAGTCGGCCATTTGGAGTAGCGCTGCTGTTTGCCGGCATTGACAAGAAGGGGCCGCAACTGTAAGTGTTGCTTCTGACTGCTGATAGGTGCTGACTTGTACATTGTCCGTGTTGTAGGGGTGACTATTGGTCTGGAAATCACTATTGCGATAACTATTGATATTGCAAGCAACTATTGCGATTAATATTGATAGTTTCAGTATACCATTTTAGATGGATTTTAGAGTTGAATTAAACCTTGGAACTGAGGTTTCCTTTGAATGTGATGACACTAACAATAAATAAAAAGTAAATTTTGAGATATGACTGATTTGTTTTTTCTTGTCCCTAATAATTTAAGAAAAAGAAACTTCCACATTACCATGTGTAAATTACTACCACTCATGATCAAAAGAAAAACAAATTTGAACAGCATTGCATGTATGTTATTGATATGGTAAATACAATCGAAACTATCGATATTCCTAACTGAAATCAGTACTATTGATTCGAAACTGATTTAACAATCGATTTATTGACTTTAAGTGCTGACCAATAGCAATATATTGATATTCCGATTTATCGTGACACCCCTACTGTGTTGTATTGTGTCACAGGCCGTGTCTTCATGTCTTCTAGTAGCCATGGTGCTGCTCGGTATGCCACAGTCTTCATGTCTTCCAGTAGCCATGATGCTGCTCGGTATGCCACAGTCTTCCAGTAGCCATGATGCTGCTCGGTATGCCACAGTCTTCATGTGTTCCAGTAGCCATGATGCTGCTCGGTATGCCACAGTCTTCATGTGTTCTAGTAGCCATGGTGCTGCTCGGTATGCCACAGTCTTCATGTGTTCTAGTAGCCATGGTGCTGCTCGGTATGCCACAGTCTTCATGTGTTCTAGTAGCCATGGTGCTGCTCGGTATGCCACAGTCTTCATGTCTTCCAGTAGCCATGGTGCTGCTCGGTATGCCACAGTCTTCATGTCTTCTAGTAGCCATGGTGCTGCTCGGTATGCCACAGTCTTCATGTGTTCTAGTAGCCATGGTGCTGCTCGGTATGCCACAGTCTTCATGTCTTCTAGTAGCCATGGTGCTGCTCGGTATGCCACAGTGTCATTGTACACAACGAGGGCACATCTATGTTACTGTATTGTTAACGTGAAGGAATTACACTCATCGGAGTGGTGTGACTGCATGATGAGACAGTAACCCGCTGTAGTGTAGAAGACTGAACGTGAAGTAGTCAGTGATGTAAGGAGGCAACCTGTACCCTGTGTTCTCTCTGCCAGGTTTCACATGGACCCCTCCGGGACCTTCATCCAGTACGATGCCAAGGCCATCGGGTCCGGGTCCGAGGGGGCCCAGCAAGCTCTACAGGAGGTGTACCATAAGGTGGGTGGTGTACCATAAGGTTGTAAGTGTACCATACAAGGGGCAACATACTATAGTGTAAGTGATGTAGCATCAAGTGTTAGGTGGTGTAGCATAAGGTGGTGGTGTGGCATTAGGTGGTGGTGTAGCATTAGGTGGTGGTGTAGCATAAGGTGGTGGTGTAGCATAAGGTGGTGTAGCATAAGGTGGTGGTGTAGCATTAGGTGGTGGTGTAGCATAAGGTGGTGGTGTAGCATAAGGTGGTGGTGTAGCATTAGGTGGTCGTGTAGCATAAGGTGGTGGTGTAGCATAAGGTGGTGGTGTGGCATTAGGTGGTGGTGTGGCATAAGGTGGTGGTGTAGCATAAGGTGGTGGTGTAGCATAAGGTGGGTGGTGGTGTCGCATAAGGTGGGTGGTGGTGTCGCATAAGGTGGGTGGCATAGCTTAAGATTGGTGGTGGTGTGGATGGTGTTGCATAAGGTGGGTGGTGGCATAGCATAAGATCGGTTGTGGTGACATAAGGTTGAGGGTGTCGCATGAAGTGGGTGAGACACGTCACTTGAAACTGCTAAGGCATTTACCGATCTTATCTGAATAATAATAGTTATGGGGGACGTCTGATTTTGCTTGAATTGACACATAGATTGAGTCCATTCCCTGATGAGTTCTACTCTATGTGAATGTGTTTTTGATTGTTTCCAGTCTCTGACGCTGAAAGAGGCGTGTAAGTCAGCTCTGACGATTCTAAAACAAGTGATGGAGGAGAAACTTAATTCCACAAATGTTGAGGTGAGTGGTTCGAGTTTTCAGGGTTGATCAAACAGTTACCGCCTACTTCCCCTGGTTCCACTGTGACAGTGCCTAGTTTAGGTTTAAATAATGGCAACTGGATTGTTTAATCCACCCTAAACATGCCTAAACCTATTTGATATATGTTATTTAAATATTGAGGTGGGTAAACACACAGTTCAAACTGTTGATGCATTGCAAATATTTTTGACTCTACATTGACACCTTTTAAGGATGTTTTTGCTCATTTGTATACCCATGAAGATCCAGGTTAAAAGAGGTCTTCAGCAACCCATGCTTGCTGTGAAAGGCGACTCATCTTGTTGTAAGAGGCGACTAACACGATCGGGTGGTCAGACTTGCTGACTTGGTTGATGCGCGTCATTGTATCCCAGATACAGGATTGATGCTCATGATGTCATTCACTGGATTGTCTGGTCCGGACTTGATTATTCCAGTCATATGTCTGGAATATTGCTGAGTGCAGTGTTAAACAATCAACAAACGAACACATTAGTAATTCATTTGTTTCAATCATTGGACTTCTCTTTTCTCAGAGTAAGTTGAACTTATTTTATGTCATGTATTTCCAGATGTCGACAGTAACGCCTCAGCGCAACTTCCACATGTTCTCCAAGGAGGAACTGGAGGATGTTATAAAGGACCTGTGAGAGATGCTTCATGTGTATGTCAGATTCAATCAGTCACCCACAGATCACAGTGCTAACAACATGGCCGCACAGTCTCTCATCAGATACACTCAACTCTTACCTGTCCCATAACGGATAGGACGAAAGTTCTTAAATCAGAAGTGTAATTTTCTGAATTTAATGTTTTATTCTGTTCAGACAATTTTCAACCAAAAGCATACAAATCCTAATTTCATTGATCTTGATTTGACAAACACTAACTTGTACATCCTTGCATGTGAATGAGATGTGTAGCCTGCCATGTTGATATTCATTATCTAGTGTGTTTTCATGTTGGGATTTCCATCCATTAAGCTTGACTTGTACAGTATCCGTGGCAGACGAATTACTACGTATTTGATGAGTTCTTGTGTGGGTTTTGTGGAGGAAGTTGTCATCATTTGAGTGAGAATGTACGTCCCATCACAGTAATCACTTTCAAAGACAGCAAATATTTTAGATCAATAAGTCAAAACAGTTTCTGATGCAAGGAATGGACATTGTTTCCAACATGTTCAAGGTATTGATGACAACTGGCTGCAGAATGGTGTTATTTGTTACTTGACTGCAAGTTGTGTTCAGCTTTGTGATCGCTGACAGACTCCATCTTTATGTCTATGCTCTTTGCACCTCATCTGTACTGCATTGTGGGAGCACAGTGTGGGGTAGTTTGATGATGGACTCAATATTAAACATTGTCATCAATATGTGTGTCCGTTGTTGATGTGTTGTGTCGTACACAGATGATCTGGTTGCACCTCAATCTCATTTAAATCAGATCTTATTTTTTGCTACCGCTAAACAAAGATCTTAGGGCATCACATCAGAACAAACTTTTGCAAATTTTGACCGACCAATGAAATGACTAACAATGAGTTGACAGCCAAGCAGAAAGCAGCTTTACGATCTTTTTGTTTCAAACTGGGGACTTCCATTTCAGACTACGCTTGTAAAATATGTTGACAATGTTCTTGATTAAATTTTTTTAACCTGAACAAAAGAACATTCTGAAATGTCTAATATATGGTTGAGATTGTATGGCAGTACTTCACACGTGCAAATGTTTATCCCAAGCGAGAGATAGACAATAATTTTGACGTAACTGTCTTTCGGAATATTCTGTATTAACCATGTGGAAGTTGCATGATTAGTAACACATTCCGACAATCACTTTCCCGATCTGGTAAGCGACGCTCTGATTGGTCGTATGAAAGATCATTTCGACCTGACCTGTAATGAGATGTCCTCAGATCTTCATTTAGTGGTAGCGAGAACTAAGATCTAATTAGAAGGAGAGAGGTTGCACCTTGATGTGAAATTTCCATCTTCAGGCGTTTTGATGTGCTACTTGGTTAAAAGCAGATACACTCTCTCTTCATGATGATCTGGCAAACCGTGAAGGTTGTTTCATCAGGGGAACTTTCCAGTCAGAGTGTCGAGGCTTCTATATCCCCCATGTGAGAGGGAAGCATTCAGGGCAACATATCTGACTTCTGTATCGAACATCAAGGGTAGTTCTGAATGGAAATAATATAGGTCAGGCTATTATATTGTGGATATGTTTCTTGGAGAGAAGGCACCTGCAACAAAATGCACCTACATGTACTACCAAAAGTACTATAAAGTCCGCCTCAGGTGCAGATCTTGGTGGCAGTAGCAAATATTCATAAATAACGATTGGTACTCATTTTTCATTTTTAAGTGTGCCACTGCTTTTCCAAGAAGCTCTGTGCCCCCCTCCCCCAAAAAGCTATTATGGTATATACACGAACTGATCCAGCCCCACTTTATGGGTCTTCCGTCCTGACCCACACTAAAACACATGTAATACATCTGGTGTCTAAGTAAATTTGTTTGAATGGGTACAGTAGGAGATTGTAATGTGACTGTCAATCCTCAGCGCCTAATAGGCTGCTTGCGTAGTATACTCCCCACGAAGTTGGGAATGAGCGTGCACACTTGTCCAGTGCCCAAGGTAATAAGATCTATCATGGTCTAAGTGTTTTTAAAGGAGTCAGAAAATGGAAATTGCGCCATTAAGAAATTCATGAAATAATATAACCTGTCAATCATCTGTTTACTACACTACCACAAATACATCTACACCGGACTGGAGTTGATTCAAGGGTTTCATTTATTTCTTAATAATGATTAGCAGCCGCTATAAAATATGTTCGCCACTATTTTTATTGAAAGATCCACGACTTGGGGGTAACAACCCCAAACCCCCAACACAAGTACCCTCGGGATCCACGAGGCACACGTAAATTGTGTATTTGTCTTGAGCGGTATCCATTTTTATTATACTATAGGATGGCGAACAGATTCTATAATCTCACGAACGGTTACTGATGAATACAACTTGTTTTACCATGTTTACTAATTTGCCTGGAAAATATCACATAAAGTTCAACCTGAGTGGTTCTATTGGAGATTTTACGTGCGCATCAAGAACTCTACACGCGGTTTCTGATGTACGTAACACCTGAATATTCAACTTACTGAATACAGCTCAATGTACACTAAAACACTTTAAAGGATTCTTAAGAATAAAGCGTAAGTACTTATACCATGGATGGCAGATATTTCGATGCGATTCAGAAAAGTAAGTGGGGAACCACGAGGCGTTCACCGTGATCGCAACATGAAACACGGTGGGAAAAGCGAATCTCAAAAAATGACGTCATGACAAAAACGACGTTTTACAGTGAAATAAACCACACTTCGTCCTTCATTGTTTTTTTGTGGTTTATGGCGTAGCTGTCTTATATAACTATATATTCCCTGGACCCCTGCGTCATACATAGCGTACAGGAAGTGACGTCACGAAATCTCCGTCAGTAAATTCGCACAGAATCCGTCTCGCTCACGAGGGTCATTTGATTAAACAGCTATATTTAGTGTTGGGTATTTCGTCACGCCACGAACGTTACACAGCAGTATCCCCTCATCTACGTTATCAGACATCAACCCAGATTGGGAATGTGGGTTATGTGAGATACGCCTCGGATACGACAATGGCGACACCGAGCCACAGTCCCTCAAGACTACACGACCATTGAAGCTGAACCACACAAACTCCATTAGGTTCCTTTGGAGAACTTTATTCGCCTGACTCTGTTGCAAGTGTTATCAAGGATCCCAACCATGTTTTTAGCACTATTCTACAAAGGTTTCTACTAAGTTAAGGAATTTGACACCTGAATTGTACATTTAGGAGGTAGACGTACAGTGTTTGAAAATTGGATTAATGTCAGAATGATACGCGTTTGGTTTCAAATGAAATTTAGAGACGATGAATTCGATCTACATTAATCTAATCTAAACACATTGCGTTTATCTCCATCCTACCATGACCGATTCTGCGGAAGACAGCGCGTAAACCGCCATGGCTCTTGAGGCGAATTAAACTCATCTGCACTGAGTGCGCTTGAACGTGTCATCATTCCGCACGCCATACGTCACCGACTACGAGAGAATGGCACAAGGTCGCTATCGACCATTCAGAGGAATGACGCTGACGCCACATCGGCTTCGGAGTTTACGTTAAGTCAAACGTTGGCAATTACGTCCCGTCGTGTTACCGTTCTTGCAGCACAACCCCAGGATCCTGTTTCAAGAGGACAATGCCAGACCTCACACAGCTCGTGTTCTGGCCACGAACAACGTCGATATTTTACCATGGCCAGCCCTTTCACCAGACATGTCACCCATGGAACATGATGGGGTCATCTTGACCAGAACATCCGAACCCGTCCCAATCCTCCAGTGACCGACAATCAGGTGACACAAACACCGAGAGAGGAACGAAGGGCAAATACCGATGACGTCATTAGACGCCTGTATGTTTGCACTTTTATGACGCATTGCCATTCATTCAGTGACAAAATTCCAGCTATATGACGGCTGTCTGGTGACATCATGAACAACTACGCAATTGGGACAATGACATGCATCAACCAGGTCAGCAAGCCTGCCCACCCGATCCCGATAGTCGCCTCCTAGGACAAGCATCGGTTGCTGGAGATCTCTTCTGACCTGGATCTTCATGGGTTTTTGGTGACTGTCGTTTTCAGGAAAGTCAGTCAATCGTGATCTATTTCATGGCTACATCGACTTCAGGGTGCTGTTCTCAAGATGCATTCTTGGCTCTGTAAGTATCATCTCCTCAGAAAACAGTACTGATAAAGTATTGGGGTTCCAGATGACTGAACGTAGTGTGGGCCTAATCACAAAAATATGTTCGTATAAAAAGTACAGTAAGATCAAAATTAATTAAGTGAAGTCTGTATTTCTGTATGGAGAGAATTTGTGTTGTCCCTAATAAAATACCCTAAACGTCTCTTAAGAAACCTTAGAATCAGATTGATTGTGGAATTTTGGTTTTTACCCCGCTTTGAGCCATATGCCTGCAATACCTCATCGAGGACACCAGAAATGTACTTGACGCATTATTATTGTTATGTGGCAGTTTATGTATATATACTTGTAAGTTTATTTTGTAAGTTATTTCGGAGGAGTGTTAGTGGCAGCTAATTGAGGCGCTCGTAAAAGAAGCGCTAATAAAATGTGACCTCCCTTAGAGTTTACAGCGCAAGCTTCGTTACCAAGGCTTCACATACTTGTTACCCTCTCGCGACAAGCTCCTTCCCAGCGCGTGATACTTTCCTGACACTCTCGGTAACATTGCTGCCACCAGTGTGGGCAGTGTCATTGTGAAGGCAGTAGCTATAACATGGGCTTTAAGGTGGAGACATTTGACCCGTCTCCTAGTGAGGAGCAAGTCAGGGTTTGGAAGAAATCAGACTATTGTTTGTGTTGCTAAGTGGTATAAACGTACCAAGCATTCAATGAAAAATAGTGTGGACCTTGAGGAGTATTTGGTGGAGGAGGAACCTTTTGGGATTCAGCTTTGGCGTTGGAAGAGTGAGTGAGTATGGTTTTACGCCGCTTTTAGCAATATTCCAGCAATATCACGACGGGGGACACCAGAAATGGGCTTCACATAATTGTACCTATCGGAATTGCAGGCAAAGAGAAGTGAGAGAGTGAAAAATTAAAATGAAGAGAATTAGAAATTCAAAAGAAAGAGAAAAAAAGAAAAAATAGATTTCAGAGAGGGAATGTGAAATATATACGATTAAAAAAATAATAAATAAATAATAATAAAAATATTATATTTTCTGAGAGAGTTCAAACTAAATTAATTAGAATTCAAAATCAAACTTTCTTTGATGTGACAAGAATGGGCAGAGTGGCCCCTCCATTTCAAGGAAGGAAGTTGACATTTGGAGAAAGTTGCAACAAAATTGAAATGGTGATAGGCGTGCAACCCGCCAAGATGTCAGTTTTGTGGTGTGTGGATATTGATGAAAGTCGATTTCGCACGATAATTTAATAAACGTCTATATTTGAAACATAATTAAATTCGTCATACTCTTTTTGTGAGATATCAATAAGGTGATGTGAGGACAGAGAACAGATTAAACTACAACAAAACATGGTGATCGAATCAGTCATGTAAATTACATTTTGAATGTTAACTAAAATATATAAAAAAATAATGAATGCCATTTAAACTGATTTAAGACCATAATGTTACTTTCTTTTACAAATCCAGAGGCCGTTTCTCAAATCGTGGTGGCCGTTTGCACTAACCCTATTGGTAGTTTTCTCTTATGCAGTGGCAGTTTTCTCTAATTGCGTGGTGGCTGTTGGCCGTTTTCACTTGAACCTCTTTCTTAAATGGTGGGCCCAAGCCTATTTCTGAGGAGTATGATTGTATTGTTAGCTTCCTACGAGGGAGGCGAACTTGCCTTTTATTTAAAAATGTTTTTGTGTCACTTAAAGTTGATAAATCCACATTGCGACTGATTACTATTCTGGGGGACACGGCACTAAAGGCTTAGTTCTCAGGGAGCGTCCTGGCTTTTTCAGCCAATGTTTGAAGGCTAGATATCGGCTAGATACCAAGGTCCTAAATATAATAGTGAGACTGACTACATTGTAGAAACCCCAGGTCGAACCGACGTCGTTAGTCATTCCGTTGATGTAGGTGATGCATTGCCGTTGCTTTTGCTTGGTACAAAGTCATTCCATTTGGCTTAAAATACACCGGCTACCTTCAGTGACGTCACGTCTGACATTCAAGGTACAGAGACTTACATCGACGACAATACCAATAATTCAATGGAGAGGGACGATCATTTGAAGAGGATCTGGCCTACTTAGGGGATATCACAGGCAAAAAATGACAGTAAATATGGCCAAGTGTAAACTTGCCTAGGTCCATGTTATTGTCTTCGGTTACTTACTCCATCAAGATCTGATACAACCAGTCAATGCAAAAGTAGAAGCTATTGCAATTTTCCAGTTCCGACCAACTAAAGCCACTCCTGGGTATGACTGGTTACTACAGAACAATTTGTCAAAACTGTCACTAGTTTCTTGGTCAAAAAGACAAAGTTTCGCCGGCATAACCAATGCCAGGCACCTTTTTATCAGAGTAAGCATATGCATAGTTAAAAACATAAGCCTATGTGTTTCAATATAATTTGTTAATTATTTATTGATTTTGTTATGTACACATTTCACAATTTAGTTCTGTTAGTTCAGTGTTACTTGGGAATCAGACCTGACAATATAATACACTACATGATGTGTGTATACTAAATTGTACAACCTGCAACCTTTTTTCGTCATGCAAGAATATATTCTTTAAGATGCAAGGGTAGATTTGCTTTTTTCTAAATTTTGATGGATAAATATTTTGATTACTAATTCAGTTTTGTGACATTTTACTGCCATAGAAAACTTATAATTAATAAAACACAGCTCCATGACGCGCGCCAACAACAACGGCTTTGCGTGTACAGATGTTCCTTCAAGCACCCTACAGGGAATTCCGTTTCCTATCAAAAGCCTAACGAACATGTCACTGCTTCCATGAAATCCTCTCAGACAGACTGGTTCGGGGCAAAATTTGCGATGCGTCAACTTCATGATTTATAAGTCGGGTCCATATCAGATAAATATAGTTTAACTGACACTTATGTGAAGATGTAGATGACCTTTAATATAACGTTCGTTTTCCCCGCACAATTAAAAGTATTTTGTGTTTTTGTACATGTTGGACAATTGAAAAACTGAAAAAATGCACCTTTAAAACAGTCACTTATACATACGTGGTGTCTGACATGATCAGTGTGGAATACAGTAAACTACGGTTATAACGAACTCAAAGGGACTACTAATTATAGTTCGTTATAACCGTAATTCGTTACAAGCATATATGCAGCATAACTACAGCATATAGTCGGGACTAAAAAGTTAGTTCGTTATATCCGTTAGTTCGTTATAAGCATGTTCGTTATAACCGTTGTTTACTGTATGTAGATAATTGATGGCTGTCGCGTGACTCACTTCAACTACATTGTCACGAACAAGGTCGAAGTTCTCAAAGAATCCAGTCTTAATTCCAACGACCAACCATAAATTGTTGACGTTGGGTGTTGGGTATTATCATAAAGGATTCGACACGAAGAATTTATTAAAGAACCTTGAACATAAACCAACTTGACAGCCACCGCCCACACGCCACGCTCACGCGCGCGCGCTGTCACATGTGTTAAACAACTAAATGCAAAGTCCCCCTGAAATTATTGCTTGTAAATGTCATTATCCGGGTTGTCTCCCTTGGTTCACGTCGTGTTGTTAAGCAACCCCTGTTCCTTGGCAACCCCTCCAACGATGGTGTTCATGACAGTCAGTAGCTTGTCCCACGCCTCGAGGAGGGCCGGCGTCGCGTCATCTCCCAGATACTTCTTCAGGAACGGAGAAAACATTATCCTCAACTCCTACAACAAAAAGCAAAAACGTCTGCATCGACAGTTGAGCTGAGGTGAAATGGAGTTTAACACCGCGTTCGTGATTACTGCAGTTATAAAGGGACTATGTACAAGTGTCTGTGTCTTTGAGTACGAGGACACGGAAACACTCAGGTCACAGAGCATCTTCGCGAGGCAGGGGAGTTAACTATTCAGTCAACGCCCTTGCCTCGGGAAGATGGTGCTACCGACACTGTTGTCTTCACCAATGTCAATGTTCCTAGTCACCAATAACCCAGCTTGGTTTGTCTGTACATTTGTATGTTGATATTGTACAGCGGTCGTTGTATGTCCTGGTGGTATACGCGTTATGTATGCAAGTGCCTGTGAATCTGATTTGCACACCTTATTTCAATATATATCATACATCCACATAAGACTTATTGCCCAATGCTATGCACTTTATTTAAACAGGTTTAGATTTTGAGGATAATACATAAGGAAATGCCTTTTGTCGTAATCATGTTAAAATTCTAAACATGTTTCGATTGTGGAGATGTTGTGTTTAGGTGGTGTTAAGGCTGGGAGATGACAGCTCATATCATGTGTTTAGACCCTAAACGTGTTTAGATAGAACACACCAAATGTGAATTCCGTTTAGGATTAAACACATTCCTAAACACGTTCAGATCTAAGACATGTCTTGTATGTGTTTACATTCAAAACACATTTTTACAGTGTTGGTTGATGCATGTCAGTATCCTAATTGTTGTTAATCAACAGCGACGTTGAACAACTACCAACCAAAAACTAAAGAAACAAACCTCAAACTCCTTTATCGTGATGCCTCTGTTGAGGTGGTTGCGCGCCACCTTCTCCACCAGGGCCACCAGACACTCTGGATCATCCAGATTCCCCACAAACGACCCGATCTGATACATCACTGTCGTTGCATGCGCACGCATCTTGGAACTGGTCGCCAGTTCTTCCAGGGACTTGTCGCGGAACAAGGGGAAGAACTCTTGCTGGTCGGGATAAGCTTTGAAGAGTTCAAGAAAAAAGTTAACTCCGTTCTTTTTCTGCATCTGACGTGAGCCGATAATCTCCCAGCTGTCCATGATCAGGTTCTTCTGACGGAGGGTCAGTCCGGTAGCAGGGTCGACAACGGAGTCATCGGAGTCAACGTTGTTATTCGTCGCGGTGTCGCCCATAGTTTGGAAGGCAGTGAGATCTCAACCTGCAACAAGGAATACGTATTAACATGAATCACCAACTCACGCCCTCTCTTCTAGATCTAGGGGGCACGGGTGGCCCAGTCGACTAAGGCGCCGCGATTCGCTGTGCAGAGTTGCGTCCCCTGGACACGCCAGAAACCTATGATTATGGGTTCGAATCCCGGTTCACCCCGATTACGTTTCTAGGTTTGTCAGCACCATACCCGTGCTCGTGGGTTTCACCGAAGTGGTAAACGTCTGAGACCTGCATCACTTCGGGCTTTCCTCCCACATCAGGCTTACACGCCGTGATATAACTGGAATACTGTTAAAAGCGGCGTTAAACCCAACTCACTCACTCATTCTTCTAGATCTAGTACATGCATGCATCTCTCGCTCCTCGGCCATGCTATCTCTCTCTCTCTCTCCTCGGCCATACTCTCTCTCTCTCTCTCTCTCTCCTCGGCCATGCTATCTCTCTCTCTCTCTCCTCGGCCATACTCTCTCTCTCTCTCTCTCTCTCTCTCCTCGGCCATGCTATCTCTCTCTCTCTCTCTCTCCTCGGCCATGCTATCTCTCTCTCTCTCTCTCTCTCCTCGGCCATGCTATCTCTCTCTCCTCGGGGCATGCTATCTCTCTCTCCTCGGCCATACTATCTCTCTCTCTCTCTCTCTCTCTCTCTCTCTCCTCGGCCATGCTATCTCTCTCTCTCTCTCTCTCCTCGGCCATACTATCTCTCTCTCTCTCTCTCTCCTCGGCCATGCTATCTCTCTCTCTCTCTCTCTCCTCGGCCATGCTATCTCTCTCTCTCTCCTCGGCCATGCTATCTCTCTCTCTCTCTCTCTCTCTCCTCGGCCATGTTATCTCTCTCTCTCTCTCTCACTCCTCGGCCATGCTATCTCTCTCTCTCTCTCTCTCCTCGGCCATGCTATCTCTCTCTCTCTCTCTCTCTCTCCTCGGCCATGCTATCTCTCTCTCCTCGGGGCATGCTATCTCTCTCTCCTCGGCCATACTATCTCTCTCTCTCTCTCTCTCTCCTCGGCCATGCTATCTCTCTCTCTCTCTCTCTCTCCTCGGCCATACTATCTCTCTCTCTCTCTCTCTCTCTCTCCTCGGCCATGCTATCTCTCTCTCTCTCTCTCTCTCCTCGGCCATACTATCTCTCTCTCTCTCTCTCTCTCTCTCTCTCTCTCTCTCTCCTCGGCCATACTATCTCTCTCTCTCTCTCTCTCTCTCTCTCTCCTCGGCCATACTGTCTCTCTCTCCTCGGGGCATGCTATCTCTCTCTCCTCGGCCATACTATCTCTCTCTCTCTCTCTCTCCTCGGCCATGCTATCTCTCTCTCTCTCTCTCCTCGGCCATACTTTCTCTCTCTCTCTCTCTCTCTCTCTCCTCGTCCATGCTATCTCTCTCTCTCTCTCTCTCTCTCTCCTCGGCCATGCTATCTCTCTCTCTCTCTCTCTCTCTCCTCGGCCATACTATCTCTCTCTCTCTCTCTCTCTCTCTCTCTCTCTCTCCTCGGCCATGCTATCTCTCTCTCTCTCTCTCTCTCCTCGGCCATACTATCTCTCTCTCTCTCTCTCTCTCCTCGGCCATACTATCTCTCTCTCTCTCTCTCTCTCCTCGGCCATGCTATCTCTCTCTCTCTCTCTCTCTCCTCGGCCATACTATCTCTCTCTCTCTCTCTCTCTCTCCTCGGCCATGCTATCTCTCTCTCTCTCTCTCTCTCCTCGGCCATGCTATCTCTCTCTCTCTCTCTCTCCTCGGCCATGCTATCTCTCTCTCTCTCTCTCTCCTCGGCCATGCTATCTCTCTCTCTCTCTCCTCGGCCATGCTATCTCTCTCTCTCTCTCTCTCTCTCCTCGGCCATACTATCTCTCTCTCTCTCTCTCTCTCCTCGGCCATACTATCTCTCTCTCTCTCTCTCTCTCCTCGGCCATACTATCTCTCTCTCTCTCCTCGGCCATGCTATCTCTCTCTCTCTCTCTCTCTCTCCTCGGCCATACTATCTCTCTCTCTCTCCTCGGCCATGCTATCTCTCTCTCTCTCTCTCTCCTCGGCCATGCTATCTCTCTCTCTCTCTCTCTCTCCTCGGCCATGCTATCTCTCTCTCTCTCTCTCTCTCTCTCCTCGGCCATGCTATCTCTCTCTCTCTCTCCTCGGCCATGCTAGCTCTCTCTCTCTCTCTCCTCGGCCATGCTATCTCTCTCTCCTCGGGGCATGCTATCTCTCTCTCCTCGGCCATGCTATCTCTCTCTCTCTCTCTCCTCGGCCATACTATCTCTCTCTCTCTCTCTCTCTCCTCGGCCATACTGTCTCTCTCTCCTCGGGGCATGCTATCTCTCTCTCCTCGGCCATACTATCTCTCTCTCTCTCTCTCTCTCTCATCGGCCATGCTATCTCTCTCTCTCTCTCTCTCTCCTCGGCCATACTATCTCTCTCTCTCTCTCTCTCTCTCTCTCTCTCTCTCCTCGGCCATGCTATCTCTCTCTCTCTCTCTCTCTCTCTCTCTCCTCGGCCATGCTATCTCTCTCTCTCTCTCCTCGGCCATGCTAGCTCTCTCTCTCTCTCTCCTCGGCCATGCTATCTCTCTCTCCTCGGGGCATGCTATCTCTCTCTCCTCGGCCATGCTATCTCTCTCTCTCTCTCTCCTCGGCCATACTATCTCTCTCTCTCTCTCTCTCTCCTCGGCCATACTGTCTCTCTCTCCTCGGGGCATGCTATCTCTCTCTCCTCGGCCATACTATCTCTCTCTCTCTCTCTCTCTCTCATCGGCCATGCTATCTCTCTCTCTCTCTCTCTCTCCTCGGCCATACTATCTCTCTCTCTCTCTCTCTCTCTCTCTCCTCGGCCATGCTATCTCTCTCTCTCTCTCTCTCTCTCTCTCCTCGGCCATGCTATCTCTCTCTCTCTCTCTCTCTCTCCTCGGCCATACTATCTCTCTCTCTCTCTCCTCGGCCATGCTATCTCTCTCTCTCTCTCTCTCTCTCTCTCTCCTCGGCCATACTATCTCTCTCTCTCTCTCTCTCTCTCTCCTCGGCCATACTATCTCTCTCTCTCTCTCTCTCTCCTCGGCCATGCTATCTCTCTCTCTCTCTCTCTCTCCTCGGCCATACTATCTCTCTCTCTCTCTCTCTCTCTCCTCGGCCATGCTATCTCTCTCTCTCTCTCTCTCTCTCCTCGGCCATACTATCTCTCTCTCTCTCTCTCTCTCTCTCCTCGGCCATGCTATCTCTCTCTCTCTCTCTCTCCTCGGCCATACTATCTCTCTCTCTCTCTCTCTCTCCTCGGCCATGCTATCTCTCTCTCTCTCTCTCTCTCTCTCCTCGGCCATACTATCTCTCTCTCTCTCTCTCTCCTCGGCCATACTATCTCTCTCTCTCTCTCTCTCTCCTCGGCCATGCTATCTCTCTCTCTCTCTCTCTCTCCTCGGCCATACTATCTCTCTCTCTCTCTCTCTCTCTCTCCTCGGCCATACTATCTATCTCTCTCTCTCTCTCCTCGGCCATACTATCTCTCTCTCTCTCTCTCTCCTCGGCAATACTATCTCTCTCTCTCTCTCCTCGGCCATGCTATCTCTCTCTCCTCGGCCATACTATCTCTCTCTCTCTCTCTCTCTCTCTCTCCTCGGCCATGCTATCTCTCTCTCCTCGGCCATACTATCTCTCTCTCTCTCTCTCTCTCTCTCCTCGGCCATGCTATCTCTCTCTCCTCGGCCATGCTATCTCTCTCTCCTCGGCCATACTATCTCTCTCTCTCTCTCTCTCTCTCCTCGGCCATGCTATCTCTCTCTCCTCGGGGCGCACCTTTGAGCCCCGATGTTAATACTCTGTTTTGTATCCGGTAATTATTGACACTATGGGAAAATTCTAGACATTGATATTCCAACACATTGTTCGACATATAAAAGACACATTGCTCGACATATGCAGGCAACATAGCTCGACATATACAGGAAACGTAGCTCGACATTTACGAGACATGTAGCTCGACATATACAGGAAACATAGCTCGACATATACAAGACATATTGTTCGACAAAACCATGGCACATTGCTCGACATACATGGCACATTTCATATCGTAGTGCCGTCAATTCATACTGCCATATCGTACTACTGTCATACCATTATATTACCTATCCTTGTGCTTTCAATTCATCATATTTCATATCAAAGTGATGTCAGTTCCTTATACCGTCATATCGTATTGCGTTCAATTCATTATAGTGGATCAGACCGTGGTAATCTTTTATGGTTTCAAAATCTGTCAAGCAATAGTTTTAATCCATAATGGTGACACACAGTAGTTAAACTGGTAAGACTGTATCCTTCACGCTGACAGTCATCATCAGTTTCGGGGCGATTCCACAATATGTTGGAGCGGTCAAGGACTCTGATAACTTATTGAATAAACCTTGATCTCGTTTTGAATAGAAAGATAATCTGGCAGTCATCATCAGTTTCGGGGCGATTCCACAATATGTTGGAGCGTTCAAGGACTCTGATAACTTATTGAATAAACCTTGATCTCGTTTTGAATAGAAAGATAATCTGGCAGTCATCATCAGTTTCGGGGCGATTCCACAATATGTTGGAGCGTTCAAGGACTCTGATAACTTATTGAATAAACCTTGATCTCGTTTTGAATAGAAAGATAATCTGGCAGTCATCATCAGTTTCGGGGCGATTCCACAATATGTTGGAGCGTTCAAGGACTCTGATAACTTATTGAATAAACCTTGATCTCGTTTTGAATAGAAAGATAATCTGGCAGTCATCATCAGTTTCGGGGCGATTCCACAATATGTTGGAGCGTTCAAGGACTCTGATAACTTATTGAATAAACCTTGATCTCGTTTTGAATAGAAAGATAATCTGGCAGTCATCATCAGATTCGGGGCGATTCCACAATATGTTGGAGCGTTCAAGGACTCTGATAACTTATTGAATAAACCTTGATCTCGTTTTGAATAGAAAGATAATCTGGCAGTCATCATCAGTTTCGGGGCGATTCCACAATG